TAAGCCCTGAAACCATCACAAAGTAACCACAGGGTAACAAGGTATGCCAAACCCGCCACGTACGCCTTGCCCTCCCTTTAGGACTAACTTATTTCATTTAATACTAATAATAATCATAATAATAAATTTTATTTACAAGAAGGTACAATGGGTTTGTGAGATTACATAAGATTAGTATTTTGACATTCTTGAAAAACTACTAAGAGGCATAGCGTTTCGGGCAAGTCCTAAATCTAACATATCAAGTAAGATAAAAAGTTACATTGTGACAAAGAGTTCTATCAACATATAACTACAATATAAATTGACAGAGGTGATTACACTGTTGACGACATATGTCTTGAGTACTAATATTGGGGAAGTGTACAAGATACAGTGTGAGTTTGAAGCACAAGGTAGGAACTATGAGGATGAAATTAGGTACTTTTTGGTTTTACTTTTGAATAAGGCTGAGGTTGGAAAATTTTTGAATTCACTAAGGAGTGAGTTCCATAGACTGGGTTCTTTTATTTGCATGGAGTGTTTGCACAGATTTAGCTTGACTGAGGGTATCAAAGATATTTATTTCTGGTATGGTGCTCACGGGTTCTATTACACCTATCAAGGAAAGGTTTCAGATCAAGATTAGCATGTATGAACAAGGTTTTGTACATGTAAATAGCACATGAGAATGTGTGGAGTGACTGTATGTTTAGCATGTTAAGGGACTTAAATAGAGTGGCTGTTTGTTGTCTGAAGACAGAGTGTGTTATTGTTCTGATAGCAGATTTTTCTGAGTGATGATGGGCTTGAGGTAATATGCAGTGGTTGAACCCCGTGCACTGATACCGTATGTAGGATAGAGTTAGATTAATGTGTAGTATAATGAGAGGAGAGCAGTGAAGAACATAATATCCGATTTTAGAGTATACCGATCGTTTTTTAGACTTTTTTGGCTGTGTTGCATGTGGGTGCTAAAGCTGAGTCTCTTTTTCTATGTATAGGCCAAGGAACTTTCTCTCAGTTTTATTGCTAATGTTAACATTGTTTATCTGAAGTTGGATTTGATTTGATAATTTACTACCAAATAAAATGTAGTAAGTCTTATTTTATGTTTAGTGCGAGTTCGTTGGTTGACATCCCTGAGTGGACTTCTTTTAATTCATTATTTACATTATTATTTAGTGCGTGGGGGTTGGGGTCAGAATAGATGAAGGTAGCATCGTCAGCAAATAGTATAGGTTTCAGAATGTTAGAAACATTTGGCAAATCATTGATGTATATAAGAAATAGGAGAGGTCCTAAGAGCGCTACCCTGTAGCACTCCTACTGTTAATGGTTGAGTGGATGAGGTTATGTTATTGATGGCTACATACTGGTGTCTGTCACTGAGATAGGAACGAATATAGTTCAGAACAAGGCCTCGGATACTATAGTAGCAAAGTTTAAGTAAGAGGTAGTTATGGTTTACAGTATCAAAGGCCTTTCTCAGGTCAATGAAGAGGCCAATTGCTAGATTATATTAAGCAGATTAATAATGGCATCATTGGTACTCTTTCGGGAACGGGAGCCAAACTGGCAGGGACTTAATATGTCGAGTTTTACAAGGTAGGAATAGAGTTCTTTGTAAATAATTATTTCAAATATTCTTGAAAGTACTGTATATGTAGATTTGATATTGGTCTGTAATTGTTTATGTCAGCTGTCTCGCCTCCTTTATGAACTGGCGTTACTCTTACTTTCTTAAGAATATGAGGAAAAGCATGACACTAGAGATTTGTTGAATAGCAGAGCTATGGGTAGTGCAAGAGCAGGGGCAGCACTCTTATATACCATAGATGGTATTTCATTAATGTTTCCAACTTTGGTTTTAAGAGATTGAATTATTGATATAATGTCTGTCGGGCTGACTGGTGAAAGGAGTAGAGAGTTAGGATAGCTGCCGGTGAGATATGTAGCAACGTGTGTTTGGGTCTCTGGGATTTTACTGGTAAGGTTTTACTGGTCTCTCTCATTCCTTGATAGTCTCCTCGATGGTAATCTAGAAAGATATCATCCATCATCCTGGACATTCGCGTGAGTTTCTGTAATAGTATTCCATCTTAGAATATTGTGATCACACGATGGGGCGGGCTTTTCCCCTACTTTATTTGCCCGAACTTTATTTCATCTACTTTGCCCGAAACGCTATGCGTACTAGTGGCTTTAGGTATTGTATGTACTAGCTCTATCTATAAATCCAATATTATATTTTGTAACTAATCCTCTATGTATGTACTTTTACCTGAATAAACAATTGATTTGATTTGACTTGATCAACGATCGATCATACACCTCTTCTGATGTAAGCACAAGGTCCAGAATGATGTTACCTCGAGTGGGCTCTGTCACATGTTGTGTGAGAAATAAGTCCTGCACCTGGTCTAGAAATTTATCTCCTGTTTGCGGTGTTAGATTTACCCAGTCTATTGTCTCGTGGTTAAAGTCGCCCATTATTAGAGTTTGGGTTTGTGACGCAGCATTGATCACATTTTGCAGGTCAGTAACTTCCTCTAATGCTGCTGTGTCAGCCTTGTAGCATACTCCCTCTGTCAGTTTGCTATATATGTAAACTTTCATATCTTAGAATAAGGTATTGCCATAGAATGTAAATAACTAAGCACACATATTAATCTTAAGGTTTGTCCGAAAAACTACATATGATTAGTGGCTTTATACTAAATACAAATATCTACAATGTAAATAATGCAATAAAATTCTATGATATATATTTTTTATGAATACAATATTATTACCATTGCAAATTTTTATTATTATTGTCATTATCAATGTATCGTCTGATAATACTCTTACCGAAGCTGGGTTAGTAGATACATTCACTACAATAGTTAGGAGAGGAGAGGGGCAGGGCTTGAGCGCTGAAGGAAAAAATGTCATGGATCAAGAGAACTCTTGAGGTCGGGGGCATGCAGGGGGAGGGGGGTTGAGGGCTGAGGGAGGGAGTGTCATGCATCAAGGGAATTCTCGTGTCATGATTCTCGTCACATAACTGTCATCAGGTCTTGCCCTGCGTCCAGAGATGAGGTGGTTCTCACGCGATCCTCGACGAGGGCCACAAACTGTACATTTATACCTTGGGTGCAGTTGATGAAGTTAGCTGTAGTTGTGGCAGGTTAAATGCTGTAAGACTGAATTAGCTGCAGCCTACTTAACCCACTCACAGGATGGGTATGGGGTACATAAGAAATGAACTAAACTAAAATTACTTGGTTGATGTTATTGCAGTTAGGTTTAGTTGTATATTTATTGTACATTAATGTACAATACACTTGCACGTTGCTTTTATGTTCTTTGTACACTCATTCTTTTGAATAAACATTTGTATTTTTATTGTTGTAGTAAAACACAGTCGTGAGGTTTCTCATAGGGTAATTATTTTAAATAGCAGTACACGAGGCGTGATAATAGTTCATATTTATATCGCAGGAAACGCTCTCTCTCTCTCTCTCTCTCTCTCTCTCTCTCTCTCTCTCTCTCTCTCTCTCTCTCTCTCTCTCTCTCTCTCTCTCTCTCTCTCTCTCTCTCTCTCTCTTCTCCTCTTCTCTATTTCCTCAATATTATTATTTTCTCTCCTGTAGCATTTTTATTAACTGTATTTATGATGTTTATTTCCCTCTCTTTTTTAACTTAAATTCACATTCCACCTTATAGTTATTGTAGTGTATGTATGTGCGTCACTGTGTGTATGTTTATGTACAACTCGTGAATGAATCATCAATAAATTTGTATCTATACAAATCCAGAGGAGGAATGAGGAGGCCTCCATTGAGGATGTTGGTCAATGAGAGAGCGCGGTGACCAACCCAACTGTTGTCTAGCCAAGGGCGAGGCTGCATGTGTCCACGCGGTCTCCCACCCAGTTACTGGCCAGACCTAGCCATGCGCACCCAGCCATGCGCATACCATTCTCTGCACCACGTCCAGTGTATATGTGTGCATTCCTGGCATTGGTATGCATATACGAAAGTATATGTATGCATGTATATTTGCATATGTATCTACTCAAATCATGTTTATTCTGTATTCGTTTCTCTACATGTACGACTTGTGTATATATTTATTTTTAATTAGTGCTTTTATGTGTTTGATTATGAGTGGGAAACTGTTTTTTGGTTATAGTGATCTGGCGTGGCCATGTGAAATGTGGTTAGTGTGTGTATTTTGAGTACCTCATTATGGTTCATATCATTGTATGCTTTGTGGAACTCTAATTATTAATTCTCATTCAGAGGAGAGAGAGAGAGAGAGAGAGAGAGAGAGAGAGAGAGAGAGAGAGAGAGAGAGAGAGAGAGAGAGAGAGAGAGAGAGAGAGAGGGGGAGAGAGGGAATAGGTTTCAACTTAGCTGACGTAGGATTACAACTCTTGCTTGGAGTTTCATCAGGTTCCTTACATGATTGTTCCTTTATGGTAGTTCCCTATGTGATAGTTTCAAAATACATTCACATGAAATAATGAGTTTCTAGGAGCAGGCTTCAGATGAGCTGAGGAAGGATAACATCTCTTGCTTGCAGTTTCACTAGGTACTTCATTTGACAGCCCTTATGAACCCTAGTCTTAGTTTAAAAAATGAGAGAGAGAGAGAGAGAGAGAAGAGAGAGAGAGAGAGAGAGAGAGAGAGAGAGAGAGAGAGAGAGAGAGAGAGAGAGAGAGAGAGAGAGAGAGAGGGGCAGGAATGCGGGTCCGCTGGTTGGAGTGGACGGGTCCAAAGCGGTGGCCTGCGGCGGTGCTCCCCCCTCCCCCTCCTTTCCTCTACCCTAGCCCTCATCCCAGCTCCCACTATCCCCCAGTAATCCCCTACCAAGGAGCAAGAATCCCCCTCCTATCCCCATCCCATCTCACAGCTCCTCTCCTACCATCTCCCAGGGATCTCTCAATCCCCAATGCCCGCCCCTCCCCCATCCCCCAAGCCAGTCTGGTGCCCCACCCCCACCACCGCCCCTCCGCTAGTACCTTGGTAATGGCGGCGGAGCGCGGAGAGGCGCTCCAGTGAAGGTGGTGAGTGTGGCGAGAAGCGCGCGACCTGTGCCCCTTTGGGGTAACATGTGTATACCTGAGGTGCAGCGGCGCCCCGAGAAGCTCAAGAGTGATCGTCAGAGCCTCGCTAGGCAGGTGAGTCGCCTCCAGAACCACAGCTGCGGTCCCCGGCACTCACGCTCACTCCGTGGGGGTGTCGGCAGCTGTAGGAACAGCACCAACAGCCCCTGCAGCCAGCCACCCCGGCCCAGGCTCTGCTGCTGTGTGGCGGGACTCTCATACCCGCCCACCACACTCAGCCTCTCATTCTGTTTCTGCTGCTGACGTAGGCTCATATGATGTTGCATAGGGCGGATAGCAACAGTACGTGCTTGTGGGATGAGGGAGGCTGGCAGGAAGCATCAGGAGGCAGTTGGGATCCTGGAGGCAGCAGGAGGCTGGGCTCACGGCTTTCATCACTACTTACTTAAACGTTGAAATCTCCTGAGCGGGTGTCTACGGCGGCGGGTGACGGCAGGCCTCGAGGGCGACACCCTCCTACCTCCCCCATCAACAGCCTACCAGAGGCCTGCCCATCCTGATGCAGGCCGCCAGGTGGAGCGGTGTGTGTGTGTGTGTGTGTGTGTGTGTGTGTGTGTGTGTGTGTGTGTGTGTGTGTGTGTGTGTGTGTGTGTGTGTGTACTCACCTAGTTGTGCTTACGGGAGGTTGAGCTCTGGCTCTTTGGTCCCGCCTCTCAACTGTCAATCAACTGGTGTACAGATTCCTGAGCCTACTGGGCTCTATTGTATCTACATTTGAAACTGTGTATGGAATCAGCCTCCACCACATCACTGCCTAATGCATTCCATCTGTTAACTACTCTTGACACTGAAAAAGTTCTTCCTAACGTCCCTGTGGCTCATTTGGGTACTCAGTTTCCACCTGTGTCCCCTTGTTCGCGTACCACCCATGCTAAACAGTTTATCCTCCGTGTGTGTGTGTGTGTGTGTGTGTGTGTGTGTGTGTGTGTGTGTGTGTGTGTGTGTGTGTGTGTGTGTGTGTGTGTGTGTGTGTGTGTGTGTGGAGCGGAGTGGCGTAGAGTAGGCTGGCCCGCCCCGTCCTCTCGTATTATGTCCCGGTATGTGGAGCGCCCACAGGCACGTGTGCCCATCTGCTGGTGCCCTCCGCTGTCCTGCCCAGCCTGCCCCACCCGGCCTGCTCCTCTGTCATGCCCGGTGTGACAGGTCAAATCTGTCCCGCTAGGTGTATCGTGTCATACCAGGCCCTCCTCTGTAATGCCCGGTGTGACGTCATGCAAGACTTGCCCATCTGTATGCTCAGCGTAGCCTGTCATGCCCTTTGTGACGTTTCGAGCTTGGTGTGACCTGTCATGTCAGGCCTGCCCGTTCTTCCTCTCCGCCATGCTCGATATGACCTGTCAAGCAAAGCACCCGCCTGACATGCCTGGCCAGTCCCTCTGTACTGACCGAAATGCTCTTGTCATGCCCTCTGAAGCCCTCTGTTAGTCCCAGTGTGCCGCTCTGTCATGTCCGGTGTATCCCTCAGTTATGGTCAGTCAACAACAGTGTTCTGTAGAGTGTGCCCCCTGTGTCGTGTCCATGTGTCATGCAAGGAGTTCAGCCATCATGCCCAGTGTATCTTTTTGGTATGCCAGGCATTCCTCATTGTCATGTTCAATGTTCCTTTGTGTCATGCCCATTTTCCACCACAGTCATGCCCAGTATTCCTATCTTACATACCCGGTTACCTAATGACATACCTGGTGTTACTCTCTGACATGCCCAGTGTTATTCCCTGACATGCCCGGTGTTATTCGCTGACATGCCCAGTGTTATTCGCTGACATGCCCGGTGTTATTCTCTGACATGCCCAGTGTTATTCGCTGACATGCCCGGTGTTATTCTCTGACATGCTCAGTGTTATTCCACGACATGCCCAGTGTTATTCCCTGACATGCACGGTGTTATTCTTTGACATGCCCGGTGTTATTCTCTGACATGCCCGGTGTTATTCTTTGACATGCCCAGTGTTATTCACTGACATGCCCGGTGTTATATCCTGACATGCCCAGTGTTATTCCACGACATGCCCAGTGTTATTCCCTGACATGCACGGTGTTATTCTCTGACATGCACAGTGTTATTCACTGACATGCCTGGTGTTATTCCCTGACATGCCCAATGTTGTTCTCTGACATGCCCAGTGTTATTCACTGACATGCCCGGTGTTATTCCCTGACATGCCCAATGTTGTTCTCTGACATGCCCAGTGTTATTCTCTGACATGCCCAATGTTGTTCTCTGACATGCCCGGTGTTATTCTTTAACATGCCCAGTGTTATTCGCTGACATGCCCAGTGTTATTCGCTGACATGCCCAGTGTTATTCTTTAACATGCCCAGTGTTATTCTCTTTTTTTTTTTTTTTTTTTTTTTTTTTTTTGAGATATATACAAGAGTTGTTACATTCTTGTACAGCCACTAGTACGCGTAGCGTTTCGGGCAAGTCCTTAATCCTATGGTCCCTGGAATACGATCCCCTGCCGCGAAGAATCGTTTTTTCATCCAAGTACACATTTTACTGTTGCGTTAAACAGAGGCTACAGTTAAGGAATTGCGCCCAGTAAATCCTCCCCGGCCAGGATACGAACCCATGACATAGCGCTCGCGGAACGCCAGGCGAGTGTCTTACCACTACACCACGGAGACTGCTACACCTGCTCTGACATGCCCGGTGTTATTCACTGACATGCCCATTGTTATTCACTGACATGCCCATTGTTATTCACTGACATGCCCGGTGTTATTCACTGACATGCCCAGTGTTATTCTCTAACATGCCCGATGTTATTCTCTGACATGCCCAGTGTTATTCTCTGACATGGCCAGTGTTATTCGCTGACATGCCCAGTGTTATTTCCTGACATGCCCGGTGTTATTCTCTGACATGCCCGGTGTTATTCTCTGACATGCCCGGTGTTATTCTCTGACATGCCCGGTGTTATTCTCTGACATGCCCGATGTTATTCTCTGACATGCCCAGTGTTATTCTGTGAAATGCCCAGTGTTATTCTCTGACATGCCCAGTGTTATTCTCTGACATGCCCGGTGTTATTCGCTGACATGCCCGGTGTTATTCTGTGACATGGCCAGTGTTATTCTCTGACATGCCCAGTGTTATTCTCTGACATGCCCGGTGTTATTCGCTGACATGCCCAGTGTTATTCTCTGACATGCCCGGTGTTATTCGCTGACATGCCCGGTGTTATTCTGTGACATGGCCAGTGTTATTCTCTGACATGCCCAGTGTTATTCTCTGACATGCCCGGTGTTATTCTGTGACATGCCCAGTGTTATTCTCTGACATGCACGGTGTTATTCGCTGACATGCCCAGTGTTATTCTGTGAAATGCCCAGTGTTATTCTCTGACATGCCCAGTGTTATTCTCTGACATGCCCAGTGTTATTCTCTGACATGCCCGGTGTTATTCGCTGACATGCCCGGTGTTATTCTGTGACATGGCCAGTGTTATTCTCTGACATGCCCAGTGTTATTCACTGACATGCCCGGTGTTATTCTCTGACATGCCCGGTGTTATTCGCTGACATGCCCGGTGTTATTCTGTGACATGCCCAGTGTTATTCTCTGACATGCCCAGTGTTTCCTTCCGTAATTTCTAGTGTGGTCATGGCATGGCAATTCTACCCTCTTCCCCGGTGTGCCCTTCTCTCATTCTCCGAGCATGACAGTGTGTCCCTCTGTCATGCCAGGAGTGTCTCTCTGTTATTCCTGGAGTGCCCTTCTGTTATGCTCGAAGTGCCACTTTTCATGCCCAGTGTGCCCCTCTTTCATGCCTAGAGTGGATCTACCATGCCTGGAGTAACCTGCCATGCCGAGAATACCCTTCTGTCATGCCAGGAGTTACTCTCTCTCATGCCCGGATTGTCTCCTTTAACCCTGAAATTAGGTTTCAGTTGGAAGCCTCAACACGTAGAGGATTCAGATGAATCCCAGGTTACATTGTCTTTACCATGTCGTGGTGTAGAGGTCTAAGGCGTTTGCATGGGAGTACTTCGAGTATAGGTTCGAATCCTCCTTATGACTCCTTCTAATTTTTTCATAATAAACATTATATATGACAATGATGTATAAGGATTATGCGCAATAAATTTATACGATCAGAATTATATATTGTGATGTAATTATTTTCATTAGCATTATAGATGTGACAAAGACAGTATTATTACCTATAGCTTTATTAATCATTATTTACATAATAACCATTATTTTTTTAATGTATTCATTTTGTATATATTATTTTATTTATATTTTATTTATTATTGTCCCAGCCCATCCTCCTATAATAAAAGTACTTACAGTAACTATTTGACGGAAAGTACCAATGTGCAGTGATGGACCGCCAGGGAGTTACTTGACTTTTGTATTGTTAAATTTGGACAAAGCGGAAACTTTTGTTTTAACTGCAACATAAATATAAAACCTAACCTCACCTCTCATAGCCTAATATAGTACATATATTAGGCTATACTGGGCTTGGGAGTATTTAAGTTTGTATTTTAGTGTTATATTTTCCGGAACCTATGAAATTAAAATTACAAATCATGGTCTAGTAGCGGTAAAATACACATTGGGATTTTCCACCAAAAAGTTACTCTATGTACTATCATTTCAGGAGGATGGGTTGGATTATCCGTATATTTTTACGTAATAAATTATTATATATAAATTGTATCGATAAAGATTATATATGCTTCCCAGAAGCACCCACTCGGAACACACACACACACACACACACACACACACACACACACACACACACACACACACACACACACACACACACACACACACACACACACACAAGAAAATGTATATATGCTGGTTAGCATTGTAAATGTGTGGCCACGTCTGCGGTAGAAAATAATAATAACAGTAAAAAAAAATCCTATTCACACCCATAACTCCCACTTAAACATAGCCAACCACATCATTCCAAAATCCCATTCCTAACGAACCTTACGAACACCCACAATCACATCTAACTGGCCATCAATCCCACCCCCTTTACCCCATACCCTACTCCGCCAACCACCCACAACCACCCTAGCCATACCACCAACCAGCCAGCCACACAGCCTAGTCTCCCTATCCTCCACCTGAGCACCCCCACACGTACAACTCCACCAACTCACTCATACCCACCTACATCACTCACACACAACCACATAACATCCACATACTCACCACCTACCCATCATGCCCTCTTACACTCCGTCCACCCACACCACACAACATACCCCCCATCCCCCTTGTCGTGAGCTCAACACATCTCAACCCCTTGTGTTGTGATCACACAGCACAACCCCGTTATGTTGTGAGCTCATCACGTAACCCCCTCATGTTGTGACCACACCACACAACACAATTTGTGACCTCACAACACTAGGGTGATGAGTTGTGAGTGGAGATCACCACTGAGAAAGAACACTATATACCATGGCAAAAGCTAAATGAGGTGTTTGTGTTGACAGATGTGGGCGGGAGCTAATGTGCAGGTGCTCGTACGTCTGGCAAGCCCAGGGCACTAGAGGTGAGTACTGCACCCCAGGTGTGTACAGGTGTGCTGCACCCTAGGTGTGTACAGGTGTGCTGCACCCTAGGTGTGTACGGGTGTGTTGCTTCCCAGGCGTGTACGAGTGTGTTGCTTCCCAGGCGTGTGTTGTACCCCAGGTGTGTACAGGTGTGTTGCACAGGTGTGTGTTGCACCCCCAGGTGTGTATAGATGTATGGTACTATTGTTATGCAGTACTACTATTACTGTTATGTACAAGAGTACCACACACGAGAGGTAAGAATATACACTATTAAATGTGTTTACATGACTTATATACTCTAGGTGTGCACATGTACATTGCACCATATATATATATATATATATATATATATATATATATATATATATATATATATATATATATATATATATATATATATATATGTCGTACCTAGTAGCCAGAACGCACTTCTCGGCCTACTATGCAAGGCCCGATTTGCCTAATAGGCCGAGTGATTTTTGTTATTTTCTATAAATTACATATTATTGATTTAATCAATAATATGTAATTTAATAATTGTATAAATTACAATTATTATTGATTTAATTATGTTAGTTTAGGTGTGGTTAAAATAGGTTAGGTTAGGTTAGGTAGGGTTGGTTAGGTTCGGTCATATATCTACGTCAGTTTTAACTCAAATTTAAAAAAAAAATTGCTCATACATAATGAAACGAATAGCTTTATCATTTCATAACGAAAAAATGAGAAAAATATTGAAATTCAGGAAAACTTGGGTTATTAGGCAAATCGGGTCTTGCATAGTAGGCCAAGAATTGCGTTCTGGCTACTAGGTACAACATATATATAATATTCACACCCCAGAAGTGACTCGAACCCATACTCCCAGAAGCAACGCAACTGGTATGTACAAGACGCCTTAATCCACTTGACCATCACGACCGGACAAAATGAGGTGATAGCCGAGGCTATTTGATTTAGTTGCATATTGATTCAGTTGCATATTGATTCAGTTGCATTGATTCAGTTGATTCAGTTGCTTTGATTCAGTTGCTTTGATTCAGTTGCATTGATTCAGTTGCAGTTGTATTGATTCAGTTGCATATTGATTCAGTTCATTTGATTCAGTTGCATATTGTCCTGGGGACCATTCAGGCTTGTTCGCATATATATAATATATATATATATATATATATATATATATATATATATATATATATATATATATATATATATATATATATATATATATATATATACACAAATATACTACACTCCAAAAATGCACTCTGAGAATTCCACTGTAAGAATTACTCTTGTGTGATAATCAGATCACAGGTGGGTGATGCTGGGATCACAGGTGAGTGATACTGGGATCACAGGTGAGTGATGCTGGGATCACAGGTGGGTGATGCTGGGATCACAGGTGAGTGATACTGGGATCACAGGTGAGTGATGCTGGGATCACAGGTGGGTGATGCTGGGATCACAGGTGAGTGATGCTGGGATCACAGGTGGGTGATGCTGGGATCACAGGTGAGTGATGCTGGGATCACAGGTGAGTGATACTGGGATCACAGGTGAGTGATGCTGGGATCACAGGTGAGTGATGCTGGGATCACAGGTGGGTGATGCTGGGATCACAGGTGAGTGATGCTGGGATCACAGGTGAGTGATGCTGGGATCACAGGTGGGTGATGCTGGGATCACAGGTGAGTGATGCTGGGATCACAGGTGAGTGATGCTGGGATCACAGGTGGGTGATGCTGGGATCACAGGTGGGTGATGCTGGGATCACAGGTGAGTGATGCTGGGATCACAGGTGAGTGATGCTGGGATCACAGGTGGGTGATGCTGGGATCACAGGTGAGTGATGCTGGGATCACAGGTGAGTGATGCTGGGATCACAGGTGGGTGATGCTGGGATCACAGGTGAGTGATACTGGGATCACAGGTGAGTGATGCTGGGATCACAGGTGAGTGATGCTGGGATCACAGGTGGGTGATGCTGGGATCACAGGTGAGTGATGCTGGGATCACAGGTGAGTGATGCTGGGATCACAGGTGGGTGATGCTGGGATCACAGGTGAGTGATGCTGGGATCACAGGTGAGTGATGCTGGGATCACAGGTGGGTGATGCTGGGATCACAGGTGGGTGATGCTGGGATCACAGGTGAGTGATGCTGGGATCACAGGTGAGTGATACTGGGATCACAGGTGAGTGATGCTGGGATCACAGGTGGGTGATGCTGGGATCATAGGTGAGTGATACTGGGATCACAGGTGAGTGATGCTGGGATCACAGGTGAGTGATGCTGGGATCACAGGTGGGTGATGCTGGGATCACAGGTGAGTGATGCTGGGATCACAGGTGAGTGATGCTGGGATCACAGGTGGGTGATGCTGGGATCACAGGTGAGTGATGCTGGGATCACAGGTGAGTGATGCTGGGATCACAGGTGAGTGATGCTGGGATCACAGGTGAGTGATGCTGGGATCACAGGTGGGTGATGATTATAAATCCTAGTACAAAGATGAATGAAAGATCATACACAAACGGCAGCAAGAAATGAAGAGCAGAGCACTGCAACATCCACCTATATTTAGGTGTCTTGAGTCATTAAGTAAGGTCATAGATGGTTCTTACCTGGTCACAATGGGTCACCCTGGGTTACCCTTGGTCACCATGGGTCACCAGAGGTCACACTGGGTCACCAGAGGTCACACTGGGTCACCAGAGGTCACACTGGGTCACCAGAGGTCACAGTGGGTCACAATTTGGACACAATGGGCCCACTGGGTCACCCTGGGTCACCATGAGTCACCCTGGGTCACCCTGGGTCATCATGGGGTCCCCCTGGGTCACCATGGGTCATAATGGGTCTCCATGGGTCACACTGAGTCCCCATAGGCAACCATGGTCACCTTGGATCACACTGTGTCACCATGGGGCCTCGTAGCCTGGTGGATAGCGCGCAGGACTCGTAATTCTGCGGCGCGGGTTCGATTCCCGCACGAGGCAGAAACAAATGGGCCAAGTTTCTTTCACCCTATGCCCCTGTTACCTAGCAGTAAATAGGTACCTGGGTGTTAGTCAGCTGTCACGGGCTGCTTCCTGGGGGTGGAGGCCTGGTCGAGGACCGGGCCGCGGGGACACTAAAGCCCCGAAATCATCTCAAGATAACCTCAAGATGGGTCACACCGAGTCACCATGTTTCACCCCTGGGTCACTCTGGGTCTCCATGAGTCACCCTGGGTCATCATGGGACATACAACGCTGACTAATTGACCTCTCACCGTGAAACACTTGTCAAAACTTTACAATTTCAGAGATATATTGAATGATGTTATTATGAATTATGGGAAATTAAAGGGAAAACCATGTGGCATGTGAGCTAAATGGAGTGCACGTATGGGGCAGGGGCGGGGTGAGTGCGTGTGTTTGTGGGGTGGGTGGAGTGTATGTGTGGTGAAGTGGAGTGCGTGTGTGAGGGAGTGGAGTGGATGTGTGGACGTGTGTGGGGGGGAAAGGGGAGTAGTTACTTTGTTTGGGCGTTAACTCACTCTTTGACTTCGGAGGTTAACCCATTTTTGGACTTTGGGACCTTCCGGCCCGTTGCAGTGGCCTTGCGGCGCTAGTTTCTTTGCCTTGCGGCAGTTTCATGTGCAGCCTTGCGGCTAATTTCCTGGTTGATACCTGGTTGATACCTGGTTGATGGGGTTCTGGGAGTTCTTCTACTTCCCAAGTCCGGCCCGAGGCCAGACTTGACTTGTGAGAGTTTGGTCCACCAGGCTGTTGCTCGGAGCGGCCCGCAGGCCCACATACCCACCACAGCCCGGTTGGTCCGGCACTCCTTGAAGGAAACAATCTAGTTTCCTCTTGAAGATGTCCACGGTTGTTCCTGTAATATTTCTGATTTCCTCGTGCTGTGCCTTGCGGCGTTTGTGGGAAATACGAGTATACCTCGGATATATATATAGCATGTGACCATATCCCCAGGATGCGACCCACAACAGTCGACTAACTCCCAAGGTTCTTAATTACTGCTAGGTGAACAGAGGCTATGAGTGTAAGGAGACTTGCCCATACGTCTCGCCCTGCCTGGGAGTGTGTGCGCGTGCATGCATGTGTTGGGGGAGTGGAGTGTGTGTGCGTGTGGGGGGGGGGGGGAAGTGGAATGGTTTGTGGGGTAGAGGACCTAGGGGCAGTGGAGTGCATATGAGAGAGAATGTGTGTGTGTTACGTAGATGGTCTTGACTGAGGTCGCCTCCGCCCCTCCAACTCTCTCCTCATTCAGTCTGCTTGCACCCTGCTGAGGCAGCTCTTATTTTTTGTGTGTCTGCGATACTTCTGACCATCTCTGAGAACACCATTTTCTTACAGTAATGATTGTTGCCACAAGTTCGTTTTTTGGCGGAGTTTGGGTTAAGAGGTATAGAAGGAAACTATTGCAATGCTAAAATATGGAGATGTACGCTTTTATGTATTGTGAAGCATTCCAGTTGTGTGTGTGTGTGTGTGTGTGTGTGTGTGTGTGTGTGTGTGTGTGTGTGTGTGTGTGTGTGTGTGTGTGTGTGTGTGTGTGTGTGCGTGTGCGCGCGCGCGCGTGCGTACTTGCGCACGCATACCTATCTGTGGTATGAGAGAGTTCAAGAGAGAACTGGATAAGCACCTCCAAAGGATACCTGATCAACCAGGCTGTGACTCAAACGTCAGGCTGCGAGCAGCCGCGTCTAACAGCCTGGTTGATCAGTCCAGCAACCAGGAGGCCTGGTCGACGACCGGGCCGCGGGGACACTAAGCCCCGGAAGCACCTCAAGGTAACCTCAAGGTGGTTAACATGAGAGTTTAAGCTCGTAGTGTCCCGTCTTATCTAGCTGCAAAATTCATATACGTTCTGCAGAGCAGCAGGGTGAGGCACATCTCGTGTGCCAGGTGAGTACGACGGGCTCACCGTAGCCCGTGCTGCTTGGAACTCTGTGTTCCCAATAACTGAATCTCAAACAACACCAAGA